TTCCTGCTGCTACTTGATCCACCCTACCTTTTTTCTCCACCACGCTGTCTGACAACTTGAAGTTTTGTAAAACCCAAACGGAGAACAAACTATCTGGACAACAGAAACAAATCTTCCCACTGGAGCTGGCATTCTGGGTTAGTAAGTTGTGTACACAGCCATGGTGTCTCAGCCATGTATTTCCAATCTTGAAATGAAATCCAGTCGACAGCCGTGAAGACACAGGAAGAGCAGGCACGTAAACTGCTCTGAGTGCAGACCTATGCAGGAGAGCTAGAAGACATGGTGATAATTTAAAAGATCACACACAAAAGCTTTAATTCAGTGACAGAGAGATAGCGAGATGGAATTCAGTTTTATTTTGTCCTCTCTGAAACTTCCATTTACACCATGGCCTCGCCTATCAAAGAGGAGGAGGAAGAGGAAAAACTCTGCCCGTCACCACAGAACTCAAGTACTCAGGTACTTGCTCCTTAGAGGCAGCAGGGTATTTGTTTCTCCAGTTGTTTGGCTCCAAGAGATTACACTTTCAGTACCAGTGTAATGAGGAACCACTGGCAAACTGCTGGAAATGTCTTCTGGTTTAATCAGTGTGTCATTTCATAAAGTGCTTCTGGAGTCAAAATCTTGTCAAGCTGTCAAAAGTGTCCATACTTTTGCAACACAAAGGATAAAAGAATCCCAATGGGTATGTCACTGAGTCCTTCCCAGCTGGGTCTCGTTATTGGCACTGCCACTTTAGCCACCGAGGCGCTGGCCCTCACCCCAGGCAAAGCCTCCTGGCCGCTCTTCAGGTAGTGGATTGTAATTTGGATCTTCATCTGGTGTATCAAAAATAGCCTTCCTGAAAGACAGCCAACAGATATAATTTAGTCCCAGAGTCATCTTAGGTCCTCAATACTACTCCAAGATCAAGAAGATCCCATGGGGTTTCCACCAATGGACAAGCAGTACGTCTGCCTACCAGTGAATCAGTTACCATATTTTGAAGGGATTCATAATTATTTCGCATTTACATTAACTTTTACCTCCTTTACTAATTTTTACTACAAAAGCAATACATGTAATTGTAGAGAAAACAGGAAATATATACGAGCAAAACATCCTAAATCCCCAGAGGTATTGACACTTTCAATATTCCTCCAGAACTTTTATACATGTAATTTTACAAAAGTTAGACACTACTTCTGTTTTGTAACCTTTCCCTAAATCTATCATGAATGTCTCCCCACAACCAAGGTATCACACAACATCCACTGATAGATGAATAGACAAACAAAATGGTATATACATACAATGGAATATTATTCAGTCTTAAAAAGAAAGGAAATTCTGACACATGCTACAACATGGATGAACCTTGAAGACACTGTGCTAAGTGAAATCAGCCAGTCAGAAAAGGACAAGTACTGTACGTTTCCAATTATATGAGATACCCAGAGTTGTCAAATTCATGGAGATAGAAAGTAGAATGGTGGTTGTCAAGGACTCGGGGGAAAGAAGGAATGGGGAGTTAATGTTTAATGGATACAGAGTTTCACTTTTGGAATATGAAGAGTTCTATGGATGGAAGGTGGTGATAGAAGCACAACGTGAATGTACTTAATGCGACTGAACAGTACACTCAAAATGTGTAAGATGACAAATTTTATGTATAATTTATTGTAATTAAACTTTAAAAAAGAACTAACAAGTTATTCCAAGAAAAATCACATGGAGCATAAGAAGGGATAGCAAATGTCCAAAAGACTTTTAAAATACTACTATACGGTCATTCAAAATTTCCTTAAAGAATTAACCATTAAAGAAGCATCCTCTATTTGCATTCATGTTTTTAATTGTACTTGCCCACAGCTGATGAAATTAGATTATCTGAAAACTCCTGTTTCATACTGGGGTCAGAAAAAGCATCTATATTTCAATATGAGCTCCTTTAATTCTTACAAATTAACAATAAACAGGCACTAAAAGAAAAATAAAGAGCTGAACAAGCAATTCAAAAAGGAAATCCAAATGGTTAAAAAACATGAAAATGTTTGCTCTCACAAGAATGAAAGGAAAGCATGTTAAAAACTGAGACCCCCCCCACCCCCCCCGTCTACTTCCCAAACATTAGGTAGGGCAGAACAAAGCAGGTGTCCATGCGGGGGGATGGGGGTGGGAGGGGTGGAGCTATGGTGGCCCAGAGCAGGATGGGGGTTAGGGGAGCAGCCTTGCCTAGGGAGTCAAGAGCCCAACTGGGGCATGTACACATGGAGCTGGCCTGCTGCAGGGTGTCAAGAGCCTGAGTAGGGTAAGGAGGGCACCCCCATGAGAAGGCAGCCTGACATAGGGAGTCTGAGGCAGAGCAGGGTGAGCAAGGCATCCATATGGAACAGGGGGACACAGTGATGAGAGACTGGCTACATATGGGGGTATTAATTAAATACGTAAAAACATTAATGATAACAGGAATCGGGTTTCTGTCGGCGAGAATGGGGAAATATGGAAAGGGGTGGATTGTCATAAAATAGAACACTACTCAGCAAAAAAGGGAACAAATTACTGTTACAAGAAAAACAATGTGAGTTTCAAAAACATTATGTTGAATGAAAGAGCCCTTATACAAAGGAGTATATACATACTACATGATTCCACTCATGAAGCTGCAGAACATGCAAAACTAATCTGTGGAGGGACAAAATCAGCATAGTGATTGTTTCTTGGGGGAAGCGGGCAGGGTTGACAGGAAAGGGGCTTGAGAGAACTTTCTGGGTAATGGTAATTTTCTCTTGATAGGAGTTTGGGTTACACAGGTATGTGCGTTTATGAAAACCCGTTAGTTGAAACCCTTGTGATTTGCGTATTTTGTTGTATATAAACAAAGAACTCTAGTTAGGGACTTCCCTGGTGGCACAGCGGTTAAGACTCCGCACTCCCAATGCAAGCAGCCCGGGTCTGATCCTTGGTCAGGGAACTAGATCCCACATGCATGCTGCAACTAAGAGTTCGCATGCCACAACTAAGGAGCCCGCCTGCTGCAACTAAGACCTGGTGCAACCAAATAAATAATTAATTAATTAATTAAAAAAAGAACTCTAGTTAGTGATATACATTCTAAAATATTTAGAGAATTAAGTATACTGGAATGGAAAGATGGATGGAGGGATAGATGTACAAAAAGCAAGAATAGTAAACTGTTAATTGTAGAATCTATGTGGTAGGTAAATGTGACTGTATAATTTTTTCCACTTTTCTGTAAGTTTGGAAATTTTCATAATAAAATATTGGAGGAAAAAGATAGAAAGGAAAAAAAATTGAATGAATGATGTGGAGTTGTACCAGAACTGTGAGTATCCGCATAAACCCATGTTTTAAAAATACACAGATCTGAAAACATACATGTATATACACTCATAGGCGTAAGTATATAATTCCCTTGCTCTGTTCACTGAGAGGACTTGGGAGTAATACTCCAAAAGCAATAAGCACATCTGCCGCCCAGACCGTGGCTTCTAAATACCATTCTCTACTAAAAAGGAACTAGGGCTCCTTAAAGAAATAGCTGATTCTGCAACTGGGTCAAGAAGAGCACAAGATGAGCCTGGGATATCATGCTAGGCCAGAAAGCAATAAATTGGTTTAAAAAAAAAAAAGATGCGAGCATGTTGAAAAGTACTTCAAAACCAGTTTAAGGAGGTTCCCCTTGGCCAAATCTGGGACAATATAAGCATCCAAATAAACAACAATAATAAGGGATTATAATCCATGAATAAAACATGAAACCATGGATTCTTGCAGATATAAATGAATTGAAATTTGATAAGAAAAAGGATGTTTACGTAGTCTCAAAGTACCTCCCCACAAAACACTTAATTACAAAGGGGAAAAAAAGTAACTTTGGCAGTGGAGAAGCCCTGCAGATACCTTAATCAAGTAATCAAAGTGATTAACACCACTTTGGCAAATTCAACCAATTGAAATCCTGTGCCAATAGGCTGCAATCCGAAAAATGCAGTATCACTTCTCTGATATTCCTGCCACAGATGCAAAACCTGAACCTAAATGTGAGGGAACATCAGACAAACCCAAGTTGAGAGACATTCTACAAAATGGGGTTATAATCTTCAAAAACATCAATGTCACAAAAGACAAGGTAAAGCTGAGGAGCTGCTCCACACCGAAGGAGACTAAAGAGACATGGTAACGAAGCGAAACACCTGAATCTGAACTGCATTCTTCTGCTATAAAGCATATTCTGAGGACAACTGCCAAAAGTGGAATTGGGTCTGAGAATTAATGTTTACTTCCAGATTTTGACTATGTAAAAGACTGTCCTTGTTTACAGAAAGTGCACGTTAAAGGGGGTCATGGGGCTCTCCCACATTCGATAAAGATGTGGGGAAATGGACACTTTTACGTTGCTGGTGGAAATGTAAGCCTGAGTATCCATTCTGCATCGCGGTTTGGCAATAAACTGAACAGCTATTCTACTTGTAGGAATTTATCCTTTGAAAATAATCATGGATGTGTGCAAAGGATGTGCTGCTACACATGCTATATGGATGTGTAGCTACAGGAATGTTCACCACTCCAGTCACGGAAGGAACAGCAAGAAGGATGTCAGTGTCCATCGATAAGAGACTCGTAAATCGTGCTCCATTCATATCGGGGGTATCATGCAGCTGTTACAATTCTGTCAGACATTTATGATGGAAAAATGACTATGATATATTACATTAGAAAGAAGCTTATGAAGTAGTATTTTTTAAAGAGTACACAGATGGTAAAAGGCTCGTGAATACATATCAAAAAGTTAACAGTGGTAGCCACTGTTATATCTAAATGGTGGGATTATGGAGGATTTTACTTTCTTGATTTTGCTTCTTCTACAATCAACATTTAATAATAAAAACTCACGTTTTATTCCTCAAGTGAACCCTTTTTAATGCAGTACATCCCAAGGACACAAACTTCTGGCATAGAAGGAGGTTCTATAAATCAAAGCTCTACCCTCGGGACACTGAGATGTGAAAAGCAGAAGGGACTGGCTTAAAATCCCATGGCTGGCTGGCAGAACAAACAGCCTGTACCTGGTTTCCAGCCCGCAGCTAACTCCACTCTACTCACTGCTTCTCTCTGCCGCCTGTTTGGGAGACCAGACACGCCACCTTTAGAACCTCCCTCTGCTCAGCTTTGCCCAGTTCGCTAATTCACCTCTCTAAACTCAGACAGCATCCTTCATGAAACCAGCAGGCTCCACCCTGGGACAGGAGGTGCTGGCGGTCAGCTGGGACAGCAGTTACCACATCACCCTCAGACACCTTGAGCCTCCTGCCACAACTCTGGCATGGTCTGTTCTCACCCAATCCAACTGCTCCTCAACGGCAGCCAGATTGCTCAATCTCCAAATATTTACTGGCCTGAACGATGTGTGCTAGGAGCCCGGGTTTATCTGCAAGGAACATGTAACCTGGTGTTAAATACTCACAGAATAGATGGTGTTTTCAAAATTCTTATTCCACCAGGTTGATTGGGAAATACATCTTCCAAGAAAAAATATATGTGTCCAACTGCAATACCTAGAGTCAACCAGAAATAAAGGATGAGGGAGAGGATTAGAAATTTGACGGCAGGAGGCTCTACCAACAAAAATTTCTTCTCTTTAGGAAGAAATGCCAATATACTTATTAACATCTTGAAAACTAATATTGTAGTCTTTGAGCATATAACTATCAGATAATCCTATAATAGCTGTATATGAAGGCCAGGCAGAATTAACATGAAAAATGGTGACAAAATAAGTTTGCAAGTAAAATAATAGAAAAAGTAGTGCTAAGAATCTTACCCAAGAGGTCCACAATGATTGAGTTCCCCAACAACAAGGAAAAGCCCATGAGCACCCAGGGTAGAAAGGGGGCCTGGAAATTGAGAAGGCCGAAGAAATTCATGCGGACATACGGGTTCCTTCGGCTCCACACGTAGACAAGCATTATTGTAAAGGCCTGGCCCAAGAAAACTAAGCTCACAAACAAACCAAAAAGCTAGCAGTTGGCATTAAGGAAAACAGCAACATTAAGTATAATAGGGAAGACTGGGCAAGAGAACTAAGGATTGTGTTCTAACACAAATTTGAATTAGGAAAGGCGAGCAGTAGTTAAATCTTTAGGAACAAAAAAAAAGCCTGAAAATAATTACCCAGAGCCATCAGGCAAAAACCTGCTTAGGCGACATCATCTGAAGTGTTGCTAATTCAAATTAATATTCTGCTTTCATGAAGTTCTTGCCTCTTTGGAGTATGTGTTAATTCCTTGGTCAGTAATCACCATGAGGACCTTTACAAACGTGAATCAAGCCAGCTGGAGCAAAACCATCTTGTCAGACAGGGCTACATTCAAGTCTGGTACTCAGTTGACAATTCTTTTTTCCAAAAAGTAATTTATTTAACTAATAAGAAACTACTGTATAGCACAGGGAACTCTACTCAATGCTCTGTGGTGACCTAAAAAATGGGAAGGAAATCCAAAAAAGAGGGGCTATATGTATACGTATAGCTGATTCACTTTGCTGTACAACAGAAACTAACGAATATTGTAAAGCAACTATACTCCAATAAAAATTTTAAAAAAAGTTTTGATGTTGACCAAATAACCGTCTTACCAACTTAGCTTAAAAGTAAAGTACACCCATCAACAAGAATACATCTAAGATACTTAATAGTAACCCACCTGGGTTAACAGTTCCTCTGACTTGCTCACAGTAGAAAAGCATCCTGTCCAACCTCTAGGCTTAGAAAAGCTGCCACATAAAGTACGCTGTAAAATAAATAGGAGCCTGAAGCTAATATCTGGGGGGTCTACTTTTATCTGTTCATTCCGAGTATCTAGTGAATTTTGGGAGACAGAGGAAAAGCTTTAGGAAGAGAGAGGGAGTTCTTTAGTATTTTCCTGTATTTGTTCTATTTGTTGAAGGATACAGTCATTAAGAATCCACCAAAAAGGAACATAAATACAAAGTCTGCTGTCCGACCTCGGAAAGAGCCTTCTTCTAGCATTCGACAGTAACGATATCTTAAGTTCCAAGTTAAGAAAATGTTAAGCACACATATGAAGAAAATAATTTTTTTTTTTTTTTTTTTGCGCAGTCCGCGGGCCTCTCACTGTTGTGGCCTCTCCTGTTGCGGAGCACAGGCTCCAGACGCGCAGGCTCAGCGGCCATAGCTCACGGGCCCAGCCGCTCTGCGGCATGTGGGATCTTCCCGGACCGGGGCACGAACCGGTGTCCCCTGCATTGGCAGGCGGACTCTCAACCACTGTGCCACCAGGGAAGCCCAAGAAAGTAAAATTTAATGTATCACTTAAGTACACTTGGACTTCACTTTATGTGTAAGAAGTCAGCCTTTGTTTCTATAAGAATATTTATGAGTGGTAATATGGTTGCTTCTCTTTTACCAGGCATTTTAGGCAAGGTGAAGAGAAGACTGGCTCCATGTTTTACAAAAACTGTTCCTGACTGGGGAACTAAGCCAGACACCACATAAACATGCTTCCTGTCACCTACTACACCTTTTCAAATTTGTACTGTCTTTCCCATGTTCAGCCACACCATAATCTACACCATCCTTGCTTTTTCACAACCTAATTTGGAGGAAATCCCCATCAAGAAGCTTCATGTAAAAATCTGCTTTTTCAGGCCAGGGAGTTAAGCATTGCTATACCTCAGTCAATAAGGAGGCATTACAATGAAAAAATTTAATTATTAGAAACTTACCAGAATGATACACCATACAGAAGACACAGGAATCTATCCTAGGGCAGGAATCCTGTCACCCCTAAAAGGCCCTTTGTCTACGCAGATGAGCTGAGCTGTAACTCCCCTCTTAATCCAGAGGGTCGGGGCGCAGGAGAAATGCCCTGCTCAATGGCCCCAATTACCATCGGATCAGAGCACACCTCTTCCTCTCTTTTTTTTTTTTTTTTTTCCTTGCGTTATGCGGGCCTCTCACTGTTGTGGCCTCTCCCATTTGCGGAGCACAGGCTCCGGACGCGCAGGCTCAGTGGCCATGGCTCACGGGCCCAGCCGCTCCGCGGCATGTGGGATCTTCCCGAAACGGGGCACGAACCCGCGTCTCCTGCATCGGCAGGCGGACTCTCAAGCACTGCGCCACCAGGGAAGCCCTCTTCCTCTCTTTTAACAAACTGGAACATGGCGAGCCCAGGAGACATGGCACTGTCTTTCCAACCAGTGGAACCAGCAACGAAGATCCAAGGAGATCTCAAGTTCTCCATCCCCCATGAACCCACTTCCAGGTTGCATTTTATCACTTGGGGCCCGCCAGTGTTACTTTGTAAGTACGCCTCAATTAAATCACTTCTGCTCTCCCTTGATCAGATTTGTAAGTGTCTTATGGGTAGAAATGTAAACATTTTACGGTTAAATACCTCCCATTTGAATAAACAGTGACACTATAAACACCCTCAAAACATTACTAACTGAACCAACTATTCTGTGTATCACTGATCCAGTAGCCAGAAGTTACAGCTAAGACGGTAACAAAAATAACAGGATTAATAGTTTCAAACTTAATACTGTATTTCCTAAGTAAACCTAAAGTTTTTATGCTAACCCCACTTAGTAAAGGATACAGAAAAATCATGTTAAATAAAAAATTGAATCCAACTGGCCCAAAAAATAGGAAATTGGTGATTAGCCGCCATATCTGTTAAAAGAAAAAAATCAAGAGAAAGATAGATTAAGTAAAATATACCAGGAAACATTTTTATATTAAGACGAAGGAAATATCCTATGACTACAAGGGTTGGAAGGCCATCAATAGGTGATACTATGCCTGAACTCAAAAGTGAGGCACACAATCTGACACTGAATTTTTGTGCTGCTTCAGTGAAAGATATCACTTGCCCCAGTAAATTTCTAAGGATAGTAGGACAGAAAACTTGAAATTGTGATCTTTTTTTTTTTAAACCCATACCATATGGTCAGGCAAATTATGGGAAAAGTTTGATGGAAAGACTAGGTTAATTTGCAGAATAGGAAACAGTGCTTTCATATATGTAGTATCACAATCTAATGAATAGTCTCAAGATATGAAAGGAAAATTGCTGGATCTAATATCAATTGCTAAGAAATGTTTCTATATTAGTCGTCAGAAACATCCAGAGTGAAGAGTAATTCTAAAGCAAATACTCAAGTTCTAGTCTGAACAAAGAGCCAACTCCCTATAAGTAAAGACCTAATACTTTAACAATTAGAGTCTAATTGGTAGATACACAGACACTCATTTTCAAACCCTGATATACTCTTACCCACCCAAACCATCCACACCTGCAATAAAAACAACTACTCACAATGATAGAACACTTAACATTTAAAGTGTTTTAAAATAGTCTGTTCTCTCATGTGATCTTAATTATCCTGTGAGATGAGCAGGTTGGCACTACCATCCCCATTTCACATATGAGGAAAGGAAGAGACCTGGATGATTTTAAAATGGCCTGCCCAAGGACACACAGCTTGTATAGGGAGACTGAACTCAAACTCAGAAATCCTAATTCCAACTGCAGATACTGGTGTTAAGAGTTTAACCTCAGGGGCTTCCTTGGTGGTCCAGTGGTTAAGACTCCACGCTTCTACTGTAGAGGACGCGGGTTTGATTCCCTAGTTGGGGAACTAAGATGCCGCATGCCACACAGGTGGCCAAAAAAACCCCCCAAAAACCAAAAAAACAAGAGTTTAACCCCAGGCAAAATCAAGTCTTGTTTGTTTGGATGGAGCTACAGCTCCCAGCGAACGCCATTTGAGTAGAGGAGGAAGAATGCAGTTATAGGGGTCCACAGGTCTGCTTTATGCATCATTTAATTCTTAAGAATTGGTAACTATTTTTTTTTGCGCTACGCGGGCCTCTCACTGTTGTGGCCTCTCCTGTCGCGGAGCACAGGCTCCGGACACGCAGGCTCAGAGGCCATGGCTCACGGGCCCAGCCGCTCCGCGGCATGTGGGATCTTCCCGGACTGGGGCACGAACCCGTGGCCCCTGCATTGGCAGGCGGACTCTTAACCACTGCGCCACCAGGGAAGCCCCAAGAATTGGTAACTATTAAAGCTGAAACAATTCAGGATTGTTTACTACATACTAACTGCATCCAGGATTTTAGAGTCCTCAACCTAGTGAGGAGACAAGCATATAAATAAGTGCAAGTATGAGATGAGAGATATAAAAAAAGTATTTACAGATACCCTAAGGACACAAGGGAGGATGAATCTGAGAAGGCTACACAAAAGCTGCACCTTGAAAGACGAGCTGGAGTTCAGTGGGTATACAGTGAATGAAACACATTTGGGACAGAGGCAACAGCAGGTGTAGAGACAGAATTACTGGTTTGGGGGTCTCTCTCTTACTCCAACTATAGCCTATATGATCATTCTGGAACAGGAAAACACATCTCTCTTTTAGCACTCAAATTACTGGAAAGGACCATCTCTCACTGTAAGCTAATACACTGCCATGTCATCTTCGATGTCAGTCTTCTGGAGTTCTGTTAGGATGATGTGATCCCTGGAAGATGGATCAGAACACTAACTGAACTGAGTTTCTGAACAGGACCATAGCAGTAACACCAAGGTGGCAGGTGTGGTACATGGTGGTGAATGCACAAAATAAGGGCATCCTGTGAGACGCTCCCTGGACAGCCAGCTGATCAGTCTCCTCTCAATCTATAACATTAACTTTGAACCAGTGATTCCTAAATACAGGAACTGGACACATCAAATCAAAACCATGCAGGGAACTTTAAAAATAAAATAGATTCTTAATTCCTACCCTTGGTGATTCTGATTTGGTATGTGATGAGGAGCTTGAGAATCTCTTAAAAGTTCCAGGCTGCAAGAATCACTGCTTTGTACCCCTCCCCCCACCTCCATAGCCTTATAATCAAGTATTTCCACTGAATTCTTTGAGACAGTAAATGACAGGATTAGCTACTAAAATGTAAGAAAAACAAGTTTAAAAACTGAGGCATTAATGGCGGTTGTGATGGACCACTTACTTGAAAGTGTTTAAAGATTAATTCGGGATTGAAGTACAACTGAAAAGGTGTGATCAATTCCAACTGCTGAAATAGAAAAAGAATTTCTTCAAGCAAGTCAATCAAGAAACAAAATATCATCACTTACAACAAAAGATTAATAGGGCCAGCAATTTCCCACTCTCAGTCACTTAGGCTGAATCATTTAAGGCTTTCTTCTTAGGCTGGAGGAAAAGGTTGGTAAAGAATTCTGTAGAATTGATGCAATTCTTTGTATTCCCCAATACCTAACACAAAATAAAAGTCTGTTTGATGTTTCAATAGTTGAGGGTAATGTGACGGTATGGAAGGCAGGTGGTGATATCTTAGATACAGGGCAAGTAAGAGCAGCTGCTACGAATCTGTCCAACACATGGGCACCACCTGAAATAACTGTGTGAAGCAACAGAATTCACTCAAAAGAACCAAGACTCAATACCCTGCCACCGTGAGGGCTGGGTGCTTCCAGCCAACCTCTATTACAGACTCCGTATTTCAAGACTTTCCCGCTCGACCACTTCCAGCTTTCTATCCTCAATATCTACGTTCCTCCTTCCGCTAGTCACCACATTATCATTTGGCCACCGCAGGAGCTCTCAGACACGTTTCCTGGGTGGGCGGCTCCCACCCAAGCCCTGACTTGGTACAGATCCTGCCTTTATTTCTCAGAAACTGACCCGCAGTCCTGATCCCCCAGCCCTCTTGGAGCAGCACTCCCTTCTAGGGTCACCGGGTAAGCACTCACGGGGCCACTCCGAACCCCAAAGTGAACCCTGTACGCCTCCACCCACCCTTGAGACCAACCCCTCTGAGCTTCCCGGAGGCCCAAACCCCAGTTTCCCGAGGACCCGGTTATATCCAGCACGGCTAATGAGAAGCTGGCGCTGCAGCTGCTCACCACAGCGGCGGTGGTGAGGACGCAGGCGGTGGTGTAGGCGCGGCTGACCGGTGGGATCTGCAGGTACTCCAACCGGAGGCTCTGGTACGCCATCTTCCCCGCCGGCGGGCCCCCCCCCCACCTCCCCCTTCGCCAGTCTGT